AGTGCTCTGGCCGCATGATTTCATACTTGTCTTCCATTTGTCTCCCACTTGTCTCCGAGTAAGCTCTGGATGCTCTGAGTGCTCTGGCTGCATGATTTCACACTTGTCTCCCACTTGTCTCCCAGTAAGCTCTGGATGCTCTGAGTGCTTTAGCCGCGTGATTTTATACTTGTCTCCCATTTGTCTCCCATTTATCTCCCAATTGTCTCCCACTTGTCTCCCAGTTGTCTCCCAGTGCTCTGGCCGCATGATTTTATACTTGTCTCCCATTTGTCTCCCATTTGTCTCCCACTTGTCTCCCAGTTGTCTCCCAGTAAGCTCTTGATGCTCTCAGTGCTCTGGCCGCATGATTCAGGCTTGTCTCCCATTTGTCTCCCACTTGTCTCCCAGTAAGCTCTGGATGCTCTGAGTGCTTGGCCGCATGATTTCACACTTGTCTCCCACTTGTCTCCCAGTAAGCTCTGGATGCTCTCGGTGCGCGCTGGCCGCATGATTTTATACTTGTCTCCCATTTGTTTCCCACTTGTCTCCCAGTAAGCTCTGGATGCTCTCGGTGCTCTGGCCGCGTGATTTTATACTTGCGTCCCATTTGTCTCCCACTTGTCTCCCAGTAAGCTCTGGATGCTCTGAGCGCGCTGGCCGCATGATTTTATACTTGTCTCCCAGTAAGCTCTGGATGCTCTCAGTGCTCTGGCCGCATGATTTCATACTTGTCTTCCATTTGTCTCCCATTTGTCTCCCAGTAAGCTCTGGATGCTTTGAGTGCTCTGGCCGCATGATTTCAGACTTGTCTCCCACTTGTCTCCCAGTAAGCTCTGGATGCTCTATAGTGCTCTGGCCGCATGATTTCACACTTGTCTGCCATTTGTCTCCCATTTGTCTCCCAGTAAGCTCTGGATGCTCTGAGTGCTCTGGCCGCATGATTTCACACTTGTCTCCCACTTGTCTCCCAGTAAGCTCTGGATCTCTGGCCGCATGATTTCACACTTGTCTCCCACATGTCTCGACTTGGCTCCCAGTAAGCTCACTTGTCTTCCATCCCATGGCCTGTCTGGATGCTTTGTATCCCCGGGCTTGGCTGGATGCTGGGCCGATTAATTTTTTGATGCGCACAAGGTCGTTGCTCTGTTGTATTTCTGGTGTTTCGAGTTTGAAAGCTGCATTGGCTGCATCGAAATACACTATTTTCACATATTTTCACCACAAGTGTTGCGTTGCTCGATTTGCTGTTTAGGTTGGCAGCTACTTTCGTGCGGATGATCAACGAAGCAATCACACACTCTTACGTCAAGTGTTGCGACCTATGGCAAACACAGGTCAATGCAGCACATGGCTAAGCCAAAGAAGGCAACTGCGTAGGAAGGAAAAAACCAAGCGCAGTGTCCGTGCTCTGAGGAAATCTTCATTTTGATTGGGTCTGCGCATTCGTGTTTACAAGGGGGGCAACATATGTCACAACCTGGATCCATAAATTTCATGTTTTAGCCCTTGTACGGCGTCCCATTGTAACGTCAATGAAAAACAGAATTTTAATGTTTTCCCTTTGAATCTTGTATGTGCGTCTACATGGTGGACTATAGTTTTCTTCCTCTAGGAAATACTGCTGGCCATACTGTTCGGAGATCTCATTTTTGAACATTGCTCTGTTTGGGGTCTACGCTGGTAAAATTTTTCTTTCTGTAGAACCAAACATAGACTTCACAAATGGTTGATCCAGGCGGACTGAAGTGGACCATGATTTACTCCACAAGCGGATTTCTCTTTGCCTTGGCTATGGACTATGACCTCTTTTTGTTTGCACGTGTCTATGAGCGGAGGCTGCAAGGCTTTGACAATGCCTCTGCAGTGCGAATGGCCTTGGAGGAGACAGGACCACTCATCAGTCTTGCTGGCACGATCATGGTGGTGAGCTTCTTCTTCGTCTTTCTCTCGACAGTCCCCGTAATTGCTCAGATCGGTACCTTTGCTGAGTGCTCAACACACTCCTTTTGATGGGATAAGGGGGGGAGAATAGAGAGCTCTGCAGGCACTGAAGCCTCTAATCGGACTTTGACTACTGTTTGAGGAGATTTGATCATCCATTTTTTGCATTCTGTTGGAGATTAGGCTGCTTATACTGCTTTGGCGTGGCCTTGGATGTATATGTGGTCCGCTTGTGGCTGGCACCTGCTGCATTGTGCATTTTCGAGAAGATCAACTACTGGCCTGGCAAAGTTCCAGAGCCCACGAGAAGCTGCCAGGCTGCCTTTTTTGAGTCAATAGTTGATGGATAGATAGATAGATAGATAGATTGATTGATTGATTGATTGAACATACAAGGAGTTTGGGATGGTATCACAGCCTATAGCTGCTTTAAACCAGCTGTCCTCCCTTGGCTATTCTTGGATGTTTTCCAGATTAGCTCTGTGCGGCTAAGGTTATTTGGATCATGCTCTTCCCCCTCCCAAAGGTCGCTGGGATCAGTACGGCAGTGTGCATTGATGAGATTTGAGCCTCAAGCGACAAAAGAGGTGTGCCGCCAGTGATGGTGCTTGGCCAGCAGGTTTCCCACACGATGGGTGACGTGATTATATAATTTGCTCTAGTCCAGTGGGTCTTGGTTATGCGGAAATGCAAGGGCAGCCGAACACCCATGAAAAAGCAAATCTTTTCGACTCAGCTGCTGAACTCCAATTACAATCGCACTCCATTTGCAGTCACCATGATATAGCTTATAGTAATATAGGGTTTATGCTGGAGCACAGTCCAGCTGAACGAGGTCAAGCACATCGTGACAGTGGGAGAACCTCTGGGATGTGCCTTAGCCAACAGAAACTTGGTTGCACATCGAAAGCATGGGTGATGGTCTCAGCCATACAAAAGTGCTGTCAAGGACTTGTGAAAACACGAGGATTGGAGGCTGAGATGTGTTTCGAATCATTTTCCTGCCCCCCTCACAAACATTGGGCTCGTTGCTTTGGCAGAATCTGCAGAAACCCAACAACTTGATAAGACTTGTTTGTCCACTGAAAGGTTTGTCTTTTCAAATATTCTTAAAGGTTTGTTTGTTATTGTGTTTGATCAGCCGAAAGGCCGCTTCGCTGCACAACTTTTATGGCGCGTCAGAGAGCAGCTGCACAGCTCCTTGGCTTGTTTCGAAGCCGTTTGACGGACAGTAGAGCTGCTAAAGTAGAGGCAATGTCCAAACCCTGAATTCTTTGGATATTTGTTGTCACTAGTGACTACTATTACTAGTATGATCTAGTATGTGACTACTGTTTGAAGAAGGGGCGAGGAGCCGTGTAACCGTGAAGCTAGCTTGAGCATCTAGGGAATGATACATGCAAGGACGCAGTAGAGCGAGGGTTTTAGAGCTTTTAGACACTAACTGCAAAGGACATCAAGAAACTTGCGCTGACCTTCGCAGGTTTACACGGTGCCCTCCAGTGGCATTGACACACAGATCTTCCCATCAAAGGTGGCAACACATGTCATCAGTTTTGAGATGCAATCAAGCATTTGGGTTTGTCAGGCACCTTGTGGGAGGCCACAACCACATTCCACCGTGTACGTCATGCGGGAGGAGCGCCCTGTTTGGCAATGTTTTCTTTTTTGTTGTGAGACGACTTGTTTGAGGGTCATGGCAGGAGAATTCTGTCCTAGTACCAGTGGCGGATGGTGAGGCAAGAAAGAAATATTAATAAATTGTTTGTTTTGCAAGAGTGTTGCTTAGTTGCTTAAAGTATTTAATTGAAGCGACAGTTGTTGCAACAGCTGCTATCTCTGTTTTGGGCTCCATCAGGCACATCGCTGCAGTTGTAGGGTGTTGTAGCCGTAACCGTAACCATTCTTCGATTCAAGCGTCAGTGCGTGTCACCTCAGGGGTCAGCTCACAGCACAAGATTTAAATACACTCCCTGGAACTAACATGGAAGTGGAGAATAGCCCCTTGGAAGACCATTTTCCACTACAAACAGCTGGTTTTCCACTTCCATGTTAGTTTTCGGGAGTGTAGTCCTGGTCAATGAGTAGCAGTGAAGCTCTCACCATGGTATCCAAGAAGAGGCAACTACGCAACTTTGCCAGAGCATGCCAGCTTATGAGCGTGTTGCCAATGATTGCACCGACCCTGTGGTGGTTGATGAAGGGCTGATCTCCAGTTTGCTCGAAGAGAGGCACCATTTTCGTACACAAAGAAAGTGGGAAGAGGCCGATTCGATCTTCAGAGATCTCGTAGCAGCTGGCGTGCTGATTGACGACAAAAAGAAAACCTGGAATCTGGGCCCCCGAAGATTGCCAGAGGACCCGAAGGAGGTCTCGGGGCACGTGATGTGCGAGATGTGCCGGAAGCGCTTCCGCTCTCGTAACCAGCTCTTCAAGCATCTTCGCCAGCCTGGCCCATGTGCTCTTGATTGCTTCGACCCGCTGAATGCTGATGAGGACAAAATGGCCAAGAAGGTGAAGGTCAATGCAACAAAGGTGGCAAAGCCGCCAGGGTTAGGGAAGAGATATCCATTGAAACGTCTTGGCCCAGCTCGCCATGCTGATGCAGAGGCTTGCCTGTGGCTCGGAGATCTTCCCACTGCTTGGGCACAGCGCCGACGGATTGGACAGATGCTGTATCGCTTTAGTCCCGCAGGAGTTCAGCAAGCTTGGGTAAAGCGAGTGGTGAAACGGCAGTACAAGAATGCGCAAGGGAAGAGTCTTGGCTATGCGATTGTTTGCTACCGTGATGCAGAGGAAGCTGACCTGGCTAGAAAAGTCTTGGATGGTTTGCATATCTCTGCCGAAGACGCGCTGGGCGCACAATGTGCCTCTGTGGAGTCCTTCATACTTCGTGCACGTCAGGCTGAACATGGAGACTCGGCAGCTGCGGTGCCCAAGGATCCTTCACCCATAGAACAGCTGCGCCCACTTCCTTTGTCAGAGCTGCAACGACGGGTGGGGGCGATCGTCGAGGATCAGACAGTTCTGGAAGCTGCAGCAGGCTTGTTAGCGTCTCATCCCCGTAAGGCTCGCTGTACAAAGGGAATTAAGCTTCCCAATGATTTGTCTGTACGACTCTTGAAGGAATTACAGTCTTTGCGCTGGCCTGCAAAAAACCAAAGGCCCTGTCTAACAAGCGAACGCTACTTGGTGCTTCACAGCAATGTCAAGGACTGTTATGGCCCCCTCCGCAATTTGTGTGCTGAGCTAATGCGCTGGGCAGATCCCAATTTCTACTACTCTGGTGTTGCGGTCACAAAGAACTTCATTTCCTCTCCGCATGTTGATGAACAAGACAAGAGCTTCCAGTTTGCAGTTTCTTTGGGAGACTTTTGTGGAGGAGAGCTATGTATTGAGGAAGACCCGCTGTCGATTGCGGTCATTGACACTCGTGACCGGATTGCATGCATTGATGGGCGATATGTGCATTGGGTAAGGACCTACACAGGAGTCCGCTACAGCTTGATTTTCTACGACACCTCAGATAGGCTGGCAGCCCATAGGGTGTTGGGTTGTGTTTCAATACTACATCTCTTTGCATTTAATGTCCCAAACATGGCTAGTCCGCCCAGAAAATCTTTTAAGCAAGACTGACTTCCAAGCAAGAGTAAAGACTGCTTTGGTTCCTTCCCAGGTGTCCGCGCCCTCGAACTGCTGCAGTGCAGGACGATTGGCAACCCTTTGGCCAAAGCACCATGGCAGACTGCAAAAAGACGAAGGTGGGATTCCAAAACTTCGACGCATCAAACTCGATCTAAAGCTGATTGAGTGTGGAAGCCCTGTTTTGTCATGTTTGCTGCTGGACATGTGAGTTGCTTGCAAGCCATAAATATATAATCCGGCCATACTCACTTGACACTAGTTGACTACGCAACCATTAGTTTCTCAGAACTGTGTTCGGCCGTGGACACACTACAAAACCAAAACTACGAGACTACCAGACCCGCCAGCTTCCATCGCCCAGGCGTGCCACTGCTGGGATTTTTTGTGTGCCCTGGATGGCGTCCAACGTTTGTGGAAAAAGACAGCGAGCGCGCTTGCGGCAATCTGATGGGCTGTCTGTGTTCTTTGACCAAGATGACCCAAGCATGCTCCATGGGTCATACAGTATACAGATGTATACAGTCAGTAGTCTGAAGAAGTAAGCGATTATATGATACTTCTGTAATTATGACAAGAACAAACATGGGCAGGCAGGTGAGATTTGCTTTGGTGGCGTGCTGGCTGCCTGTCTTTGCCTCAGAGACCTGCGGTAACGAAACTAAGCCCCGTGTGTTGACGAAAGGCTATTGGAAGCACCCTGAGCTGTCCGAGCAAAAGTGGGTCGATACACAGGCCTTGGGCAGTGCGTCGATCTATTTATGAAGATGTTTTGGTTGGTTGATTCTGCAGCCAACCTTTGTTAGGCCTTTGGACGGCTCTACAGAACAGGTGACATGGGAAAATGGACCGCTGGACAGCTGGAGGCTGGGAGTGCCTGAACCTTTTCATCCAACTCCAACGGCGAACTGAATGCTGAAAGAGTTGAATGACTTGAAAGCTTTTCCTGATCCACTTTGTTTCATCAGGTGATTGGCCGAGTGGATCGCCAGGTGCAGCGTCACATGTAGAGTTGCAGAAACATAATTGATTGCGCGGGCTGCTTCAGGGTATTGGTTTGCAGGTGAAAATCCGTGGAGTGCGGGTAGAGCCTGAAGAAGTCGAGGCAGTCCTCAGGAGGTTTGGAGCTCAGATTGTCATTCAAATTCTTCTAAAAATAGACGGATAGGCATCCCTGTTGAGCTTTGTTTGCATGTTGCTCACATCAGATGGCTCGGACGCGGCCAAGGTTTACATACATGGAGCCGGAGGAGAGGAAACAGAGGACACATGACAATGATTCTCTTGCCATAGTGTGAAGAGTGGCAGGGTGGTGTCGAAGAGCGGATGGAAGCCGGAAATGATGGGCGCCCAGCACTGAAGGAGGCGGGCTTTTGCCAGGCCAAGCGTCACAAGATGTCACAAGTTATCCAAGCTTCAGCAGCTTCAGCAGGTAGCTGTGGTGGCTTCTAGAGAACCGGCGGAGTTGGTGGCCTTCGTAAGCCTTCGAGAAGGCAAAGATCGTGGTTGGGGGAGTTTAAGAAACTGCAACAGTGGAAACACACAAACCCTTTCTTGCTTGAATCCTTTGGGCACCTCTACTTCAGGCTTGAGGAGCGATATCTCCTCCGAAACATTGAGGGCCCACTGTCAGGCAACCGTGCACGGGAAGTTGGATGAGTGGGAATGTATCTCACAAAACAAACTTAGATCCTCTGAAACGCATGAAAAATCTTTAGATATTTGATGTAATGTAGCGTTTTCGATATACGATGTCAGCGGTCTCTTTTGGTCTAAGGCACTGTCGGACACTGTCGAGTCTATTTTCATTTGCTGCAGCTGCTTTGTTTTGCTTGGCCCAAATTTGGTGAAAGACATTTGCCATTTCAAGACCCTTCGCTGTAACCTCGTGCAAGGCCAACTTGACACCTTCGTATGTTCCAAAGTGGAAAACCCAGTTTTCAGGAAACGTGTGATGCAGTGATGCACGACTGTTGCTAGGATCTTTAAAGCATCATTGACATTCATTGACATCCATTGACCATATCCATGAGTGAATAGCCTCGAGAATCCATATGTATTCCTTTTTGAAGGCGCCCAGAAACACCTTCAACGTGGAATACAGATGTATCGTCTGCCATGCGTGCCATATGCTTCCCAGCTCTGGGAGAGACAAAGAAGGCTTTTGGATGCTTTTGGTTCAGCAGCCAAGCTGAGGTTTTTCGTAGTACTTCGAGAGCTTCCCAAGCTCCCGAATGGGAAGTCTGCTTCTGAGTTTCGATGCTGCGAGTGGGTTGGTGGTTGATCCATTTGATACATATTGAGGTCGAATCTGAAGGAGCTGGCTGAAATGGCCACAAATCATGTGGTTGAGGAGGGTGAGGCAGACATTCTGACAGTCGTAGCGCGCCATTTGTTCACACACACATATATATATATATACAAGGAAACACAATTCAGGTTGTTATGGACTCTCTGGGACAGATGAAGAAGCTCTCCAAGTGGGCAATTTTCGAGAATCAGGCATGATCCATCGTTGCTTATTAAGCCATCACAAAGTATTATTTTTGTAAACCTTTCTCAAACTCACCTGGTGACTTGAAGGTCATTCATCGATGCTATGCGTGCCTGTGCTGAATTGTGTTGATGCGATCCAGTTTGCCTCAATTCAAACAGTTTCAATACACTGGCGAGGTGGTGGATGATTGGAGTCCTAACAGATCACTACATGCGTCGCTTTCCGGCAACTCCGTTGAGGGTTTGAAAGCATTTCAGTTTTGCTGGATTGAAAGTGCTCCGAACTAGAGGTTGTGCCATTGACTCCTACTCGGAGGGTGGATCCACATATTACTGGAGTTTTTGCACAGCTCTTGCGAGGACGGGTTGTGTTGCTTCTGGTCCGGTCGATCTTCAATTGTGCTCCTCATGTCTTTACTATTTCGTCATCTCATCTAGTTTGGCAAGAGATGTTCAACTCCAGCAGAACACATTGGTGATACCGCCATGCGCAGAAGCTCGCCATTTTCTTGGAAACAAAGCTCCGCCAAGATTTCGAGTTCCAGGGTGTTTGCGTGTTTTTGTGGGAGGGCCATTTAATTTAGTTTTTTTTTTGGTGTTTTTTAAGGACCTATTTTTGTTTCTCGTGGCTTTTGGCTTTCGTGGCTTCCGTGGCTTCCGTGGCTTTTGTGGCTAGTGTGGCTTTTGGCTTTGGTAGCTTTCGTGGCTTTTGGCTTTGGTAGCTTTCGTGGCTTCTGTGGCTTTTGGCTTTCTTGGCTTTCGTGGCTTTCGTGGCTTCTGTGGCTTTTGTGGCGTTTGGCTTTCGTTGCTTTCGTGGCTTCTGGCTGTTTGCTACTAGTCCATCTTTGGAGGAATGTGAAGTCCGAGGCACAGCTACCAGATGTAAGACGGTCCTGTTTTCATCCAGACGATTCCTTTGGTTGCTTTTGGTGGCTTTTCGCTTTTGGTGGCTTTTGATGACTTTGGCTTGGCTTTTCGTGTCTTCATTCACTTATGGTGTAAATATGCCTGGCTGTTTGCCAGCTACGACAGCTCCCAAATCTGTCTACCTATCCATCTATCTGTCTATATCTATTTGTCTATTCTATCTATCTTTCTATCTGTCTGTCTATTCATCTATCTCTTTCTTTCTTTCTGTCTGTCTTTCTTTCTTTCTCTTTGGCAGCTGTTCTGCTTTCTCTTTTTGCTTTTGCTTTTCCATTTGTTTGCTTTGCAGAGAAGAAACCAAACAAGAAAGCAAGCAAGCAAGCAAGCAAGCACGAGCTGCTCACCTTTGGATCTGGTGTGCTGCTGGGGGGGGGGCTGCGCCCCCCCCCCCCCCCCCCCCCGACCCCCCCCCCCGCGCCACGAAATCTGCACTTCATCTCCGACACCCGCGCCTGTCACGAAATCAATATTTTAAGGTGAACTCCCCGGTGCAACATTTCTAAACAAGCAAATGTGCCTCCTGTGCTAGTTCTATTTCTCTTTGCTGTTTCTCTGCTAACTGCACCAAACTGTTGTGATAGGGAGGAATTTCTCTGACACCTACACTATTCCCAATGTATTTTGCCAGCTACGACAGCTGTCTGTCTGTCTGTCTGTCTATCGATCTATCTATCTATCTATTTCTTTCTTTCTTTTGCCTGTCTTTCTTTCTTTCTTTCTTTCTTTCGTTCGTTCTTTCTTTCCTATCTACCTACCTATCTATCTATCTATCTATTTATTTATCTATCTATGCATCTATCTATCTATCTATCTACCTATGTATGTATCGATCCACTTATCTGTCTATCTTTCTATCTGTCTATCTATCTAGCACCTGCCACGAAATCTGCACTTCAAGGTCCACAAGGTACTGTGCCTGCCACGAAATCTGCGCTCCAAAGGCCCACAAAGTCCTGCACCTGCCACGAAATCTGCACTTCAACATCCACAAAGTCCTGCACCTGCCACGAAAACGGCACTTCAACAACATCCACAAAGTCCAGCACCTGCCACGAAATCTGCACTTCAAGGTCCACAAAGTACTGCGC